CACCCACCATCTCAAGCGCATTGGCGGTCATTTCTTGTGACAACTTCAACAAGTGCTTCATCTTTTCACCCGTATCACCCGTAACATTCTCAAACCCATCCAAACAAGTAACCTGATACGTCAATGCACCACTCAACCAAATCCTAAGATCCTCAATGTAATCATCCATTTTACTGAAATCAAAAGTCTCAGTAATCTTATCAAACGATAATAAAAGATCGTCAATTGCATAATCCATGAGTTCGCTACAATCGTCAAGCGCCTTCTTGGCCATGGGGTCACTAGCAGTTTCTTTCAAGGTTTTGGAATTTGTAATGGCAGATTTAATCTGCTCAACTACGTAATGGAATCCTGCCTTGATTAGTTCACGTGGGTCTTGTGAGTCCGTTTTGGACTTCACCAAGGCCTCCTCGCAAGTCTGGCGATAATCAGTGGGTTCACAAAGAGTCTTAATGGCGCTAGAGCTCTCAGAGTGCTCTTCTGCGCCATTGACACCATTAACCATCGCAACTACAAACAGAGATAACAACCCAACCAGGGCAGCAACCTTATTGATCTTGCATCCACCGCCATCATATGCCATGTTTCTTCGCTAAAATTTTCAAGCTGTTTTTATTTTATCTTTTTTCTATTTTCTGTTTCGTTGGGTAAATGAAAATGGGAAGTAACTGACTTGATTTCCTATGTTCAACAAATGGTCTCTTTTTATACGCGAAAATTTTAACAGAATTTCGAAATTAATGTTAATATCGTTAGAGTTGGAGAATTATTTTACTTTTTTTTTTTTCTTAAATAAAATTATAATTTTTTTTTACCTAAATTTAGTGATTATTTCTAAAATTAAGATGAAATTTTGTTAATTTTTGCGAATTTTATGTTCAAAATCTTCGTGGATTGTGGTAAACAATTAAATTAAGTTTTCTCTCTTCTTCTGTGTAATTATTAGTTATTTGGTAGAAGTTAATTAACTCATATGAAATTAATATAAAAATTGATTGAGTTGAAACATTGGTGATTTATTCTTTAATTAATTATTATGCTTCAAATGGTCAATATTAAAATAATTCATAGAATCCGATTCTATTATTAATTTGAAGTTAATTTTTTATTTAAATTGATTAACTAATAACAATAATTTTTATGCAACAAAGAGATGGAATATGACCCTATTTGCATAATTTATAGAAAAAATATTAATAAAGATTTTTGTTTCTAAACAAATCAACAATAATCTAATAATTGTGACTAATTTTTAAAATTTATTAAATTTAAAATTACAGCCACAATTCTAAAATTAATATTTTTATAAATTAATTGTATTTAGACATTTCCTTGTGATTTTTAGACATTTCGTTAATATGAGAAAATGATAAATAATCCATTCTAATTATAGAATAAATTAGATTTTTTTACCATAGAGTTAATAAATCAAATATGTCAATTTAAATACACAAAATTTTCATAAATTTGAGTAATTAAATACTTCTGTAAAAGTAAAAAAAAAAACAACTTTTTAACCTATTTTCAAACTATATATTTTATGTCAGGGTTAATAATTTTTTTTAATGTACCATCAATATCACTAAAAATGTGATAAAACATGATTTTTAAAAAGAAAAAAAAAGTATAATCTAATAAATTTATATAATAAAAAATCAATATAAAGAACTATATCTAAAATTACTTTTTATTCAACATTCTAACTATTTTTTATTTAAAAAACTTAAAACAAATAAATATTTTATCCATTTTTTTTAATTAAAAGAGTTCTATTGAGTATTTGAATATAATATAATTAAAATATTGAAGATAATCTACGATATGGATGAAAAATTTTAAAATAAAATATAAAATTTAAGAGTATTAATTTAATATGTGTATATATTATTATTATTATAATCACTCATATGTAAAAAGAATAGTCGACCACCTCATGGATTATTAAAAATAATATTTGAATGAAATTTTTTATATAATTTCAAGAATATCTTACAAAAATGAAGCAATATTACTTAAAAGTATCTCATTCTAACAACACAAAAATGAATACATTCTTATTAAATATATATTTAAACCTTATTTTATTTTCAATTTAATACCTATTATTTAAACTTCTCTAGGTAGATTTACACTGCCATCATGCCGGAAGTGTACGGTACTCCAGTGTGCTTGATCCAAGGATTACCACGAATAAACAATCCAGGAGTGAAATCAAGGGCGTGTTTTGCTGTAATTTGTTTAACTCCCCTCCATTTGACTCGATTTTGGGTTGCTGCGCCGGGTCCTCTATTTTCGAACTCGGAGTAAAATAGAGTATTGAGAGCAAAATCGTCCATCCATGGAAGCCACCCTTCGGGCTGGATCAAGTCATCGATTTGGGATTGCATGATAATGGTTCTTGAATATTGCTTCCATGGGCGGCCAAGGTAGGCCTTGTTGATATGGCGGACGGGAAAGTAGTCAGGGTCGGAAGAGATGACGCAGTTTTGGAGGACTATACCGGTAGGCTCTTTCTTCTCGGTTCGACCTTGGGCGGTGACAATGCATTTTTGATTTTCCAATGGCTTCCTCACGAAGATCTTACAATTTTGGAACACGACGGCGGCGTTGCCAAAAATGAAGTCGATGGTGCCAGTGATGGTGCAGTCTCGATAGAATTGACGGTGGGCATGAGTGTAGAGAGTATCTTGATAGCCGTCCATTCGACAGTTATAGAAGATTGACATGTCAGATTGAACTCGGAGTGCAACAGCTTGGTGCTTTATAGCCCCAGCTGAGTTCTCGAACCACAAGTCTTTTCCGATGAAGTTGGTTCCAATCACCGCTGTTAAGAATATGAAATCATGTTAAATTCGCTGGTTGAATTTGTATGAATATGATTATAAACTGAATTTATATGAATATGATTATAGGAAACTTACAAACAGTAGCAGTTTTGAATGTGGATGTTCCATCAACAAAGTTTTCTCTAGCAGTGATCTTGGTCTTAGTCGGGCCATCTCCAATCATCATGACATAGGTCATTTTTTTGTCGACCATTACTTGCTCTTCGTAAACTCCTTCCTTGATATAAATGATAAAGGTTGTATTGCTCTTCTTTGGGACCTCTTGAAGGGCTTCCGTTATTGTCTTGTACTTTCCACTTCCATCTTTAGCCACTACCACATCCGCTTTGATGTTGGCCCCAATAGATTGGAGTAGCCCCCGTCTGTCATTGACCCAAGATGGCTCTTCCTCTTCTTCAAGCACTCGCCCTAGCCCTATCGATGGCAGCCCCAACCCTTCCCAAAGAGAGCTGACAATGGATGTAAGCTCACCCACCATCCCAATCCCATTAGTGGTCATTTCCTTCGGTATCTTCAACAAATTCTGCATCTTTTCACCAGTATCACCAGTAACATTCTCAAACCCGTCCAAACAAGTATCTTGATACGTCAATGCACCACTCAACCAAATCTTAAGATTCTCAGTATAATCATTCACTTTATTGTAATCAAAATTAGCGGTGATTTTATCATACGATAATAAAAGATCATCAATTGCATAATCCATGAGCTCGTTGCAATCATCAAGTGCCTTCTTCACCATAGGGTCAGAGGAAGCTTCTTTCATAGTGATGGAATTTCCAATAACCGATTTGAGATTCTCAATGGCAGCATGGAATCCTGCCTTCATTAACTCACGTGGGTCTTCCGAGTCAGTATGTGAATTCACCAAGGCTTGCTCGCAAGTTTCACGGTAATCAGTAGGTTCACACAGAGTCTTAATCTCTTCTTCCGAGCCACTCACACCGTTAACCATGGCAACTAGGACCAGAGATAACAAGCCAACCAGAGCAGCCTTCTTGTTGTTGCATGCCATGTTTCTTCGCCACAATGTTTTGTTCTTGTAGGACTGCTTTGATTTCATCTGTCCAAGCAATGGCCTGTTTTTATACGTTAAAATGTTTGAACCATTCTCGACCAGTAATCCGCTTTTTAATTTTTATTTAAATAAATGTTGACCTTTTCTTATATAAATTTAGCTGGGTATTTATTCTTTTAAAAAATTAAGATTAAGGATTTAATTAATTAATTTAGGAGAATTTAGTGTTCAAAATCATTGGTGATTATGCTAATTAATTAAATTAAGTTTATTAGTTTTTAGTAGAAATTAATATAAAAATTAATTTAGTTGAAAAATTGGTGATTTATTTCTTTAATTAAGCTAACAATACGCCTTGCTTCAAATATTCAATTTTTAAATAATCCTAAATATCAGACTCTTTTATTAATTTGAATTTAATCTTAATTAAAATTGGTTATATAGGAACATATTTTTTTTTTTATAATTTATAGAAAAATATTAATAAAAGAGAAATACATTAAAAATATAAAGACTAAAATAAAATTAAAATTGGTATTACATAAGTTAAATCTTCAAATATATTTTAAAAAAGTTTCAAATTAATATTTTTATAAATTAATTAGTGATTTGTAGTTATTACCGTGGTAAAGTAGTTAAAAAAAATTATCATATAATTCTATCTAGATAAGTAAAAAATATTAATTATTGGCTATTTGATTATAGCATTTATCTCTAATTTATGTTAACGTTTTCATCTACATCGTTAGGTTGGAAGCTAATCTCTTGGACAATTATAAATGTCAAATTATATTTTTAAATGGAAAATATAAATTAATATTTGTAGAAATTCAAGTTATAATTAATACTGATATTTTTTTTTCTTTTATTATTAATTAACAAATAGAGAATTAGGTGTTGGTCTGAATTAGGTCTAAAAGAGATAATTAGACACGGTAACATTCTAAATTATTTTAATTCAAAATTTTCACAAAAATTTCTATTGAATTGAGTTCAAATCTTCGTTGATTGTGCTAAACAATTAAATTATGTTTCTTCCGAATAATTATAAGTATGATTTGTTCTTTAATTAAACTAAAAATAAAAGAATAGTTAGGACAGATTAATACAAGAATGTTGAGAAACCCCATAAATGAGAGGGAAAAATCTTTTTATTCATAATTCATATGCTCAATCTTTCTAAATATAAATGGAGAAACAATTCTCTTCTTGTGTTTGTTTTAGACTAGGGGTTCATCATGCCTGAACTGTATGGAACTCCGGTGGGCTTAATCCAGGGATTACCACGAATAAACAATGCAGGAGTAAAATCAAGGGCATGCTTCGCTGTGATCTGTTTAATTCCTTTCCACTTGACTCGATCTTTCGTTGATGCACCAGGTCCCCTATTATTGAACTCCGAGTAAAATAGAGTATTGAGAGCAAAATTTCCCATCCATGGAAGCCACCCTTCAGGTTGGATCAAGTCGTCAATTTGAGATTCCATGATGATAGTTCTTGAATATGCTTTCCATGGACGACCAAGATAGGCCTTGTTGATATGGCGGACAGGGAAGTATTCGGGGTCGGAAGAAATGACGCAGTTTTGGAGGATAATAGCAGTGGGCTCTTTCTTTTGGGTTCGGCCTTGGGCTGTGACAATGCATTTTTGATTTTCCAATGGCTTCCTCACGAAGATCTTGCAATTTTGTAACACGACGGCGGCGTTGCCAAAAATGAAGTCTATGGTGCCAGTGATGGTGCAGTCTCGATAGAACTGACGGTGGGCATGAGTGTAGAGAGTATCTTGATAGCCGTCCATTCGACAGTTATAGAAGATTGACATGTCAGATTGAACTCGAAGTGCAACAGCTTGGTGCTTTGCAGCCCCAGCTGAGTTCTCGAACCACAAATCTTTTCCGATGAAGTTGGTTCCGATCACCGCTGTTAAGAATATGAAATCATGTTAAATTCGCTTGTTGAGTTTGTATGAATATGATTATAAACTGAATTTGTATGAATATGATTATAGGAAACTTACAAACGGTAGCAGTTTTGAATGTGGATGTTCCATCAGCAAAGTTTTCTCTAGCAGTGATCTTGGTCTTAGTCGGGCCATCTCCGATCATCATGACATAGGTTGTCTTTTTGTCGACCATTACTTGCTCTTCATATACTCCTTCCTTGATATAAATGACAAAGGTTTTATTGCTCTTCTTTGGGACATCTCGAATGGCTTCAGTGATTGTCTTGTACTTTCCACTTCCATCCTTAGCCACCACTGCATCCGCCTTAACATTGGCTCCGGTGGCTTGGAGTAGACCCCGTCTGTCGTTGACCCAAGATGGCAGTTCCTCCTCTTCCTCGGATCCCTTTGTTCGCAGTTCTCGTCCCAATGGTGGCAGCCCCAAGCCTTCCCATAAGGAGCTCACAACGGATTTAACTTCACCCACCATCTCAAGCGCATTGACGGTCATTTCTTGTGACAACTTCAACAAGTGCTTCATCTTTTCACCCGTATCACCAGTAACGTTCTCAAACCCATCCAAACAAGTAACCTGATACGTCAATGCACCACTCAACCAAATCCTAAGATCCTCAATGTAATCATCCATTTTACTAAAATCAAAAGTCTCGGTGATCTTATCAAACGATAATAAAAGATCGTCAACTGCATAATCCATGAGTTCACTGCAATCATCAAGCGCCTTCTTGGCCATGGGGTCACTCGCAGTTTCTTTCAGGGTTTTGGAATTTGTAATGGCGGATTTGATCTGCTCAACTACGTAATGGAATCCTGCCTTGATTAGCTCACGTGGGTCTTCTGAGTCCGTTTTGGACTTCGCCAAGGCTTCCTCACAAGTCTGGCGATAATCAGTGGGTTCACAAAGAGTCTTAATGGCGCTAGAGCTCTCAGAGTGCTCTTCTGCGCCATTGACACCATTAACCATCGCAACTACAAACAGAGACAACAACCCAACCAAGGCAGCCTTATTGATCTCGCATCCACCGCCATCATATGCCATCTTTTTTTTTTTTTTCTTTTATTTTTGTTTTGTTGGGTAAAAGTTCAACAAATGGACTCTTTTTATATGCAAAGATTTTAACAGAAGTCCCAAATTATCGACCATTATGGACCAGTAATTTTTAATAAATTAAATTCTTAATACTCGAAACTCGAACAGTTTCAAACTTATTTTAAGCAAGGGCAAAAGCACTTCTCCAACTTAACCGAGGTCAATATGGTCACGTGAGAAATAGAATATAACTTTCTTTTAGAATTTTGAACGATAAGCAGATGTGTCTGACGTATTGTTTTTTTAGATTTAATCCAAACCAACATCTTAGTCTCTATCAAGTAGTTTAGATAAGAAAAAGTTGCTATTGGTTGAGAATGCACCAACTCTAACTATATTAACATTAATTTAGGAATTCTGTTAAAAATTTATCATATAAAAACAGTTCATTTGTTGAACGGAAGGAATCAAGGCAGCAACTTCCCATCTTCTATTAGCCAACAAAACAAAACAAAACAAAACAAAAAAAAAAAAGAAAAAAGAAAAAAAAAAAATAGTTTGAGATTTGTAGCGAAGATACATGGCGTCTGATGGCTGTGGATGCAAGAACAATAAGGTTGCCTTGGTTGGGTTGTTGTCTCTATTTTTGGTTGCCTTGGTTAATGGTGTAAGTGGCGGAGGAGAGGACCCTGGCTCCTCTAATGCTGCCATTAAGACTCTATGTGAGCCCACTACTTACCGTGAAACTTGTGAAGAAGCCTTGGTGAAGTCCAATGTTGACTCAAAGGACCCACGTGAGTTAATCAAGGCAGGATTCCATTTTGCCATTGAGCAACTCAAAGTGGCCCTACAAAATTCCCCAACTTTGAGAGCAGCCGCTGCTGACCCCATGGCGCAAAAAGCAGTTGATGCTTGCGACGAGCTAATGGATTATGCAATTGATGATCTTTTAATTACGTTTGATAAAATGGCTAATAGTTTTAGTTTACACCAAATAAATAATTATCTTGGGAATATTAGGATTTGGTTGAGCGGTGCATTGACATATCAAGAAACTTGTTTGGATGGTTTCGAGAATGTTCCTGGCGATACTGGTGAAAAGATGAAGAATTTGTTGAAGACGTCAAAAGAAATGACCGCTAATGGGCTTGTGATGGTGGGTGAGATTACATCCTTTGTGAGCTCTTTGTGGCAGGCCCTAGGACTTTCAAAGGGGCGACAACTTCGAACAGATGAATCCAGTGAAGAATTCCAAGACGAAGAGCCATCTTGGGTCAATGACAAGCGAGGGCTGCTTGAAGCCACTGGAGCTAACATCAAGGCGGATGTGGTGGTGGCTAAAGATGGAAGTGGAAAGTACACGACAATAACTGAAGCCCTTCAAGAGGTCCCAAAGAAGAGCAATACAACCTTTGTAATTTATGTGAAGGAAGGAGTTTATGAAGAGCAAGTGATGGTGGACAAAACAATGACCTATGTCATGATGATTGGAGACGGCCCGACTAAGACCAAGATCACAGCTAGCGCGAATGTCATTGATGGAACACCCACATTCAAAAGTGCTACATTTGGTAAGTTACCATCTAGTTTATATTCATATTCATACGAATTCAATAAGTGAATTTAACATGATTTCATATTCTTAACAGCGGCGGTCGGAACCAACTTCATCGGAAAAGACTTGTGGTTCGAGAACTCAGCTGGGCCTGAGAAACACCAAGCTGTGGCACTCCGAGTTCAATCTGACATGTCAATCTTCTACAATTGTAGAATGGACGGCTATCAAGATACTCTCTACACCCATGCTCATCGTCAATTCTTCCGAGATTGCACCATCACTGGTACCGTTGATTTCATCTTTGGCAATGCTGCTGTTGTGTTACAGAACTGTAAGATCTTCGTGAGGAAGCCAATGAAGGGTCAAACATGCCTTGTCACCGCCCAAGGCCGAACCCAGAGAAAAGAACCCACCGGTATTGTCCTCCAAAACTGCCAAATCTCTTCCGACCCTGACTACTACCCCGTTCGCCATACCATTAAGTCCTTCCTTGGTCGCCCATGGAAGCTGTATTCTAGAACCGTGGTGATGCAAAGTCAAATCGACGACTTGATCCAGCCTGAAGGGTGGCTTGCTTGGGAGGGCACTTTTGCTCTCAAGACTTTGTTTTACGCAGAGTTCGATAATAGAGGACCTGGTGCAGCAACACAAAATCGAGTGACGTGGAGGGGAATTAAACAAATCACAGCCGACCACGCCACTAAGTTTGCCCCTGGGTTGTTTATTGGTGGTAATCAATGGGTCAAACCGACCGGAATTCCGTACAGTGGTGGGTTGATGACTATCTAAAAATGAAGGGAATAGATTTTGTGGGCATTTTTGTTTAAAAATATTAATCTGTGGTTGATTTTAAGATTTTGAATAAAAAGATTATTTTTTTGGAAATTTGGATTCTTTATATTGCCTTAAATCGACTTGCAACAATTTTTAAATTTTTAAATATTTTTCAATTATTATTATTCTTCTTCAGGAAATACGTGCAGTGAAGATCCTGAATTTGACAATGGTATTCGTGGCTATCCCGTGGAAATGGCTCTTTTCGGATCCGAAAAAGGGTGCTCAAATTTCAAGATCTTTCAGGAATAATGGTGCTCAAATTTCAGGATCCGAATAATGGAACTTCAGCTTTAGCTGGTCGTGACCAAGAAACCACCGGTATCGCTAAGTCTTCTTTTGTTTCTCGACAATGAAGTAAGACTGCTCATGAGCTTATTATCCTAAGTTAGAAAGTGATAATTGCGTGCTTCTCAACTGCCTAGGTTGTGAAGGCCCTCACCGCATGCCGCATGGATAGTTCAATGTAGGATATTGTCAATTTAGGAAAATTCATTTCAACCCTTTGTTGAAGAAACTACACTCTCCACAATGGTATGATATTGTCCACTTTGAGCATAAGCTCTTAGGGAGAGTATACTTTGTTTATAAACCCATGATCATTCCTTAATTATCTTAGCCGATGTGGGACTTCCATCATCCAACACCTCCCCTCGAACAAAGTACGCCTTCCATCATGTCATTTTTGCCTTCCATCATGTCATTTTTGACCGCCTTCGAGAAGGCTCGATTCCTTTGCTTTTGAAGTCATTTGTTCGACATTTGAGGATTGCCTTCGAGGAGGCTCCTTTTCTTTCGAGGGCAATCATGTCTAGCCTCTAGGAGCTCAAATCTCTTGGTTTTAGATTGTCATCATGCCACCCGTGTACGGTATTCCGGTGCTCTTGATCCAAGAATTACCATGAATAAACAACGAAAGGGTGTACATGATGGCATGTTTTGATGTGATTTGTTTAATTCCCTTCCACTATAACTCTATTTTCTTTTTCTTCACCCTCCACCTAAGCTGCCAGGAAAGGCCCAAAGTCAATTCGAGGGAACAGGGAAGCTTCATAAGGTTCCTCTGTCCAGGTCCATAAATACTATATTATAGCATGAAAAGATGGTATTATAAGTGGAAAATAACACATTATTTTTCTAAAATCTAAATATCATCCTTCTTTTTGGTTCATTAGTCTTAATGTTGTGAGTTGATAAGTTATTAATTTAGCTATAGTTTAAGTTAGGTCGGTAATATGCAAATCATTTCTTAAAATTACTTTTCAAAATATGCACAAAAAAAAAAAAAAAACATAAAAATGATTTATTATTAAACTATGATATACAGCACTTAAAAGTCGGGGACTATGATATACACCACTTAACAAGTCGGGGACTATGATATACACCACTTAACAAGTCGGGGACTATGATATACACCACTTAACAAGTCGGGGACTATGATATACACCACTTAACAAGTCGGGGACTATGATATACACCACTTAACAAGTCGGGGACTATGATATACACCACTTAACAAGTCGGGGACTATGATATACACCACTTAACAAGTCGGGGACTATGATATACACCACTTAACAAGTCGGGGACTATGATATACACCACTTAACAAGTCGGGGACTATGATATACACCACTTAACAAGTCGGGGACTATGATATACACCACTTAACAAGTCGGGGACTATGATATACACCACTTAACAAGTCGGGGACTATGATATACACCACTTAACAAGTCGGGGACTATGATATACACCACTTAACAAGTCGGGGACTATGATATACACCACTTAACAAGTCGGGGACTATGATATACACCACTTAACAAGTCGGGGACTATGATATACACCACTTAACAAGTCGGGGACTATGATATACACCACTTAACAAGTCGGGGACTATGATATACACCACTTAACAAGTCGGGGACTATGATATACACCACTTAACAAGTCGGGGACTATGATATACACCACTTAACAAGTCGGGGACTATGATATACACCACTTAACAAGTCGGGGACTATGATATACACCACTTAACAAGTCGGGGACTATGATATACACCACTTAACAAGTCGGGGACTATGATATACACCACTTAACAAGTCGGGGACTATGATATACACCACTTAACAAGTCGGGGACTATGATATACACCACTTAACAAGTCGGGGACTATGATATACACCACTTAACAAGTCGGGGACTATGATATACACCACTTAACAAGTCGGGGACTATGATATACACCACTTAACAAGTCGGGGACTATGATATACACCACTTAACAAGTCGGGGACTATGATATACACCACTTAACAAGTCGGGGACTATGATATACACCACTTAACAAGTCGGGGACTATGATATACACCACTTAACAAGTCGGGGACTATGATATACACCACTTAACAAGTCGGGGACTATGATATACACCACTTAACAAGTCGGGGACTATGATATACACCACTTAACAAGTCGGGGACTATGATATACACCACTTAACAAGTCGGGGACTATGATATACACCACTTAACAAGTCGGGGACTATGATATACACCACTTAACAAGTCGGGGACTATGATATACACCACTTAACAAGTCGGGGACT